AGACATGCCTCACCAGTTGACAGGGGTCAGCAGAAGCATCTCTGAGTATGAAGAGCAGCACAGATGTCAGTGTTTACATGGCTGCTTCCCATTAATAATAAATATCAGATTATCATTTCCCAAGAACATCAACTTCTCATGTTGATTTTTCTTTTCCTACCACAGCATCCCTCCAAGGCACAATCCTGTTACTGCTGCTTACTCGCTGCTATGACTTGAGACAAATTATATAACTTTTCTGGGATAGTTTCCACAATGGGAAAATGGCCATAATAACAACAACTGACCTCTTGGAGTTGTTGTGAGGATTAAATAAGATGCCTAGAACAGCCCTTAGGAAAGATGCCCTTAGGAAATGTTTTTTGAGTGCTAGTTATTATTATTACCCTTACCACTGCCTCTGCTACTCCTGCCATGATTGCTGTTACCATCACCCCCAGAAACACCAGAAGGTGAAACTTAAACTGGGTTCTTCAGAGTGAAAGAGGGAACTGGGGAGGTCTGTGGTCAGATCAGTCCTGGAGTAAAATCTGTCTTCAGCCTCTGCAACCCCACTGGGAAGTTAGTATTTACTATCATTACTAAAACAGTGAATTTCTGGGGTGGATGGCATCACACCTCTCCCACTTTCTGTCTCCACTTTCTGATACGTAAGCACGAGACCCATGCAAACTGGCACCTTCAGTGAGTATGGTTAAGGGCAAGGACCCAGGGGCCAGGCAAGAAAAAGGTCCAGGTGGCACTGTTTACTGTAGCCATTACATGATCTCACAAGACAGGAACTGCAGGTCAAGAGCTGACCCCTCCTGGGGGTGGAGGGATGGAGAGGGTCAAAGGGGGATAAAAACAGGAACATCTGTAATACTTTCAAAAATAAAGATAATTTTTTCTAAAAAGAGCTGACACCTCCCAAAAGATGCAGGGTAAAGATCAAGACCATGGGCGGGACTGAGAATAATCTGGGCTATGTGAGTGGGACAGGACCAACGGTGAAAATTTACCAAGGCTCAGCAGTCAGAAAAACCACCTCTAATACCACAATTGCTCCCACTTAATTCATTTCTTTTTTAGAGTGCTAACATTCTATTGCCATTCAACTTTCCCAGTGTGTCGAGTCTGGGCTAATTCACGTGGAAATAGTTTACCTAAGGATTTGTCTCCAACTTCAAAACTCAGATTCATTTTAAAAGGAAGCAAGGTGCACATGCTTCTGGATCACAAGTTAGGTGCATAAGCCTTTGAACATCAATGAGACATCTAGAGTACTCTGAATATCAACAAGAAAGTATGTTGGATAAAAACTCACCAACTCAAAGCCTAATTTAAAATTAGAGTGAGAAAATGCCCATCTCTATTTGATTTTTGTGAGAACAAGAACTACAATGTATGTTCCAGGCCTAGAATGAGGAATAAGATTTGCTTGGATATATTACCCCAAAATTACAGATTTTGAACACTCTACAATCTTTTATTCTCCCCATATTTGAGAGAAACTTATTTTAATGAATATTTTTTGGAAAAACCCTAAAATTTGTCTTTTAGGGAACTTCCCCTCTTATTCTACCCTTTGCCTCACTGTTTATTTAGGTTTCATATCGGTGCTGTTTTATCATCTCTAGAAGAAAAGGACATGAAGCACTTGTGGACACAGAAACTGAGATGTACCAGACATAAATGAGTTTTTTAATACTTTTATCCATGCAAAATAAGCACAAATACTCAATGAATAAAATGTCTTAACACTGTTCTTTTAAAATCATTGGGCAGCTACAATCAGACTGACGAAAGTCTTTCTTTAAATTTAAATAAAAAACTGATGAACAAAATAAAACCAGAGGCACGGATACAGGGTACAGAAAGACGGCTGTCAGAAGGGAGTTGGTGGGGGTGGAGGGGGGAATGAAAGAAAGTGAAGAAATTAGCCGCAGTAACAAATATGCATAGCCGGTGGTCACAGACAACAATGTGGTGAAGGCCAGAAGGAGGGGA